CCTACAAAGACTTTGATTGGGGCTTTTCTCCGGTATCATGGGCTACCTGACGCCAGCCGGGCGTATAAATGGGTTACAAAAAGCCCTGTGAAGCGAAAGGTGTAACGATACTAGCTAAGTGGGCCCCGCCTGCTTAGCCGAGTGGGGGGCCGCTGTTTGAACAAGGGCCGGCTGTCTCAGCAGTCTTGTGGGCCTACCGCGGAGCTTTCTGGGACTGCCCGAACGTTGGGACACGATGCTGCCCTGCGTGGACACTAAACAATTGGTTCTACTAAACTACGTGGTGCAGTTGACGTGGTGCGTTTCATGCCTGTTCGCAATGAATAGTCAACTCCATTGCTGGGGCAATCATCTCACCCACCTGCCCGCAAAATGGTTTGCAAAAGCCATGGGGCCGGGATAGCGATGAGCGGTGACTGCTACGCGCTGGCTGGCGCATCGCTGCGGCCGCGCGAACGCGCGCACGCTCGCGCGCAAAGCGGTTCGCGGCAGCAGTGGCGTTGACCGCTGGGGACTTCCCAGCGCGTCTCGCAGGCCGCGCTGACGCGCAGGCACGTCAATGCGAGTCGGTGGCTCGGGCTTGCGCAACATCATGGCGTTGTCGGCAACGGCAGACACGATGATGATAGCAGCGATGCTGGAACGACGGTGGCGAAGACGGCGGCAGCGCCAATGACGGCGCCGAGGCTGATCACGCCGATGAAGATGGTTGTGCCCACTTGTCGGTGATTTCGGCATGCGCGCGCGGCCGCCGGGCTCGAGTGGCCAGCATGGTGTTACTTGACAAAGATCGTGCCCAATCCCAGCACGCGCGCGGGGGCGCTCGAATGACTTCGACATGCGCGCGCGCGAGAGGCCCGCCTGGTCGCATAGGATAAAGCTTTCAAGCGCGGGCGATTTCCTTAAGAACTCGCGACGACAGTAACACCATGTGTTTCTACATGCTTGCGGGGCACTCGATTTTGAAACACGTACGAAGACAAAGGTTGTTGAACGATTTCGGCAATCGCACGTGACGACGCGACCGTGCGCACTTCGCCACATGTCCTGTGAAGGGTTCTTGGAACCCGCTGGCCGCTGAGTGTAGATGAGCGATTGTGCGCGCACAAGTTTTTTGCATAAAAGGATAGTGGGGAGTGTCGGACCCGGCTTGGCTGGGATGGCATCGAGCCATGTATATATATATATATATTAAATAATGGGGCGGAATCGTATGTAACTTGCGCACCCGCAAGGGGGACTGATAACCCCCGGCCTGGGGGGGGGGGTAAATCCGAGTTCCTTTTTCAGGAAGGAGAGCTCACCTTGCCGGACTCGAAATTAGCAAATCCACTCCACGCTCAAGCATCCCACCAGCGCGCCCGCAACTTGGACTGCAAAACCCATGCGGTGGTGAGTGCGGTGGCTGCTTGGCGCTGGCTGGCGCTTCGCGGCGGCCGCGCTAGCGACCATACTCGGGCGCAGAACGGCTAGATAGTCTGACGCGACCGACGCGGCCGCGGTGGCGCTGACCGCTCGGGGCTGCCAAATGTGTCTCGCAAGACGCGCTGACGCGCGGGGACTCTAGTGCGAGTCGGTGACTTGGGCGGGCGCGGAAACATGACGACGTCGGCAGAAGCAGGCACGATGATGACAGTAACAGCGCTGGTGGCGATGATGACTATGACGACAGGAAGGCCAATGACGGCACCAATGCTGATCACGCCGATGTGACGATGGTGGTGTCCACGTGTCGGTGATGAGGATTTGGGATCGCTTCAGACACGCGTGGGTGGCCCGCGTTGCAGCGTTTGAAAAGGGATCGTGCCTACGCCCCCCCCTTCCCCACTGGACGCGCGCAAGGGCGTTCGAATGACTTCGGCATGCTCGAGCGAACGGCCGGTGTGGTCTCATGGGATGAACAGTTAAGGAAAATATAGTTTGCTTCAAGATTCGCAAGAGCACGCGCGCAGACTTTTCGGAACACCATGTCGCAAAACCGATATGTTCTCAGATGTATCGGGGCACTCGACGCTGATATCCTTGAGAAACCCCAAATGTTCGAAACATGTCGGCATGGGCGCGCGACGACGTGAGCGCGTGAACTATTTTTGGAAACTACTGGTGTTTCAAGAATCGGGTGCGCGCGCAATTATAGTTGTCCGGAATAACGGGGGGCGCTGGCGAGGATGATATGATTTCATTCTTCGACCGAGCGATGGAGCAAGATCAGATGTAAATCGTACTACTCCTGGGAAGGTCGATCACCCCGTGTGGTGGGGCGGGGGGTGGCAGATTCAGGTGATTTTGTAGAGAGAGAACAGATCTGGTGCAATATACGTGGAGCGATACATGTGGTGCGATCTGCGTGGCGCCACCATTGTGGTGCAACTCGCGATGTGCAGTCTACGTGGAGCAAGTTATGTGGTGCAATCTATGTGGTGGGTAGTCCACTCCATTGCTCGCGATGTCACCCCACCCACCCGCAAAGTAGTTTGCAAAACCCACGATGCAGAGATCGCAATGACTGCTTGGCGCTGGCTGGCGCATCGGTGCGGCAGCGCTACCGCGCAGCCTCGCGAACAGAGCGGCTAGCTTGTTTGGCGCGACTGACGCGGCCGCGGTGGCGCTGACCGCTGGGGGCTGCCCCAATGCGTCTCGCAGGCCGCGCTGACGCGCGGGCACTTCTGGGAGAGTCGGTGACTCGTGCGGCCGCAGTACCATAGCGACGTCGACATCGGTTGACACAGTTATGATTATAGCGGAGCTGGCGACGACGATGGCCATGACGACGGCACGGCCAATGACAGCGCCGATGCTGATCACGCGGGCGACGATGGTGGTGTCCGTGTGTCGGTGATGAAGGTTTTGGGCGGATTTATTCACGCGGGCGCGGCCGATTAGCGAGAGAAGCCTACACGGTGTTCTTCAACAAAGGTTGCGCCCCACCCCCCCTTTCCCCCCAAGCACGCGCGAACGGGCGTTCGAACATGTTCGACATGCGCCCGCGAGGGTCCCGTTGGGCCACATGTGAGCGAGGGTCCCGTTGGGCCACATGTGAGCGGGGGTCCCGTTGGGCCACATGTGAAGAACGTGTTCAAACGCCCTTGGTGTTCTAAAGAATTCGCAAGAACACGCGCAATTTGTTTGTGACACACTGCGCTGCAACATCGTGTTGTTATCTTTGTGTTCGGAGTACTCGGTTTTCATTTTTTTGAGCACCGACGGCTTTACATTCAATTTCATCATGCGCGCGCGACCGCGCGCTGTTGTGCACAGTGTCCCATGTGCTGCAAAGCCTTTTTGTTGAGGAACCAATCTTCATGATGGTTGATCAGCGGGTGTGTGTGCGCATTGTGCCTGGTGCAAATGCTCGAACTTGAAGTCGTCAACTTTACTGCTCGCGCAATCATCCCACCCACCCACCCTCAAGGTGGTTTGCACAACCCATGCGGCGGTGCTTGCAATGGCTGTTTGGCGCTGGTGGCGCACCGCTGCGACCGCGATATCGCGCACAAGGTCGCGCGCAGAGCGGCGGCCTTGTCTGGCGGGACTGACGCGTCCGCGGTGGCGGCGGCCGCGGAGGACTGCACAACGGGTCTCGTAGGCCGCGCTGGTCCTATTTGTCAAGGATCGCGCTTCCCACAACATGCACGCAAGGGCGTTCGAATGACTTCGACATGCGCGCGCTGGAGCCCATGTGGGCCGTATGTGATGAATATTTGAAGAACTGATGATGTCCTTGAGAATTCGTAGAAGCGCGAGTACCTGGTCCGAAAAACATATTGCAAAACCCGACTGTTCTAGATTTCTTCGGACACTTGAGTTTGCTCTATATACAGAACTAAAGGTTTCTGAAGCATTCCGGCATGCCCGAACGACGACGCGCGCGTGTGCACCTTGTCATCCGTGTTGCCAAGGAATCTTGGCAACTGATGATTGGTAATACAGAAATGCGCACGCATTGTACTATCTGGCACGACGAATGAGAGATTTCCAACTTGGACGCGATGTTATGACCGCATATTTCAAGTGAGCGATGGGGCATAATCACATGTAAATTGCACATCATTTGGCCGGGCCGAGAACTCAGGGGAAGCGAAGGGTAGAACTGAATCTCTTCAAAGAACGAAAATGTATATGCCATGTGGTGCAATCTACGTGGTGCTATCGATGTAGTGTGCGCTATAAGGTGTCAGCTGCGTGGTGCAATCAAAGCGGGCAACGACGAGGCGGCGGGCGGCGACGAGGCGGCGACAGCGGCCACATGGTGGCCAGAGCGCCCCGCAGGCCTAGGCGACGGGCGGCGACGGGCGGCGACGAGGCGGCGACGGCGACCACATAGCCGCCATACCGACGGGCAGGCCCAGTCTCCGAGAAAGGATTTACCAACCCCTAAAATGCAAGCCTTGCTTGGGGAACAAAACCAATGTCCCTGGAACACCTCGGGGCACGTCTCCCTCAGTGCCCGTTGTCCATCATAGAGGCCCAGAAATCAGGGACGATATGTCATGTGTTCTTCCAGCCCGCGCCCCAGAAATTCCCTGACCCCTCCCCCTTGGGCCATATTTCACCCCTTGATGGCCCCGGGGGCCCGACGACGCCCCCACGCAGAGGCCGAGCCCACGGAAAGGGCGTCGCGCTTGAAAAAGTGCCACCTTGGGGACCAAGAATCTACCGATGACGCTACTCTCCGGATCTCTCCAAGGGTGCGTTCAAGGCGAATCCAGCCTTGGCGACGAGGGAAGGTTCCCAGACTGGGGCGGCCTTAAATTGCTCAATGGATGGTCCCCGAAGCCCCCGGCCATTTCTCATGCCGAGTCGTGCCGCTACGGTTCCACAGCCTGGCTTGGCGAGTGCCCCAGGAGGCCGAACAATTACAATCACCGTCCGTCCTCTGCGCCGTCTTCTCGTGGCCGGATCGATCCGTGACGGCCCTGGGGGCCGAGGCCAGGCGTCGACGCCCCGGTGGAAGGAATACTGCGACGCCAGGAGCTGCGGGGGGAGGTCTGGGCGGCGAG